TCTATGGTGGACAGTGATGCTTTGTGGGTGATACTGAGGGTGCATTTGCCACCACTCACCTCTATCTCCACGCCAAGTACCTAAAAGCACAGGGAGAGCTCATGGGATGAAAGGAATTTGGCTGGAAGCAGGCAAGGTGACAATGAGTGTAGTCAGGTTTTTCGCTAGGTGGAGCCTATGCAATTTTGTTGTCATCCCTGGCTATGCTTCTGTCATGATCAGCCCAGTGACAGGAAGGTCCACTCATTGCAGGAGGTTATGAGTACTTTGAACACAGATTGTCTTTTTTGTTTTTGAGACAGGAGCCTCAAGCTGTCTCCCTGGGTAGAGTGTTCTGGCATCACAGCTCACAGCAACCTCCAACTCCTGGGCTCAAGCGAGTCTCCTGCCTCAGCCTCCCGAGTAGCTGGGACCACAGGCGCCCGCCACAACGCCCGGCTATATTTTGGTTGCAGCCATTATTGTTGTTTGGTGGGCCTGGGCTGGATTTGAACTCGCCACCTTGGGTGTATGTGGCTGGCGCCAAGCCAGATTGTCTTTGTTTTAAAAACCCTATCACCAATGAAAATAATACAAAGACAAAAGAATACAGAATAAATCTCTGTAATTAAAATTTAGATTAAGAGGACCTGCCTCTAAGGGAAGCCTGGTGCCACTGATCCTTTTGAGCAATCTGAAAGGACCCATCTGAGCATCAAGAGTTCTCTGTGAGTTACCTTTTTTAACTCCCACCAGGAGTGAAATAAGCTATCATTCAGACTTCCATTGACTCACCCCTGACCTTTCGCCTTCACTTATCTCCAAGTTGGAGGGCTTTCTGAGCCATCAGCCGTCACGCCAGCCTCAGCACTTCCCCTATCCCACCATCCTGCCCTGGGCCTCAGATAATAATCCTTTCCAGACAGGCTGTGTTCCTGCCACATTTGGAAAACTTCAGAGTAAACTCTTAGCGCGCAGAAGGACCAAAGTCCCTCCATTACATTCCCTTCACCTTCCTTTCACATTCCACACCTTGCTCTTCGCTGGACGGCCTAGTGGTTTCTCCCTCCTAACTGCTCCAAGTCCTCTCTCTTGGTTTGGTCCCGGCTTGTCTGAGACTGAGGCCTTTGTTCTATCTTCCTCGTGGCTCTGGGCCTCCTTTCTTGCTGCTCCGCGTCCACAACAGTCTTGTGCTTGTCTGTCCAAGGCCTGTACTGGATCCAAATTCTCTTGTAAGACTCTGGCCCTGCAGCTGTTTTCTGATGGTGTGCACCCTTGGCTTCTGCCCTGGCCTGGGGCAGGAAGTGCAGAAACTGGCTTAAAGAACAGAAGGGGGAGAAAAGCAACACAACCGGCCAGCTTCACAGCTTTGCACTTTCTGGGGGCTTTCAAAGCAGAAGTGTTGTTTACCTTGGCATTCCTGGTGCCCCTTCTCTCCTCCAAAATGAAGGAGCGTGGTGGATATTGAGGGCTGGGCTGCTCTCAGTGTGGTTGTTTCAGCAGGAATCACAGGTTGGAAAAGGGAGAAAGATGAACAAAAGGCCTGGGACTCAAAAGCACCCAGATGTGCTGAATCCACAGTGAACCCTTGCTTATTCGTACTGGATACTCATATCTCACGTACACAATACGCTCTGTGGGTTTTTAATATCATTTTATAGATGCAAAGGTGAGGTTTTCAGGGCTAAATCCCTTGAGCAGTCACAATAGTAGTAGGGGATAGAGCGTGGACTGAATTCACTTCTGAATCCAAAGTCTGTGCTCTGGCTCAGCGCCTGTGGCTCAATCGGCTAAGGCGCCAGCCACATACACCTAAGGTGGCGGGTTCGAATCCCCAGCC